TAGCGATTATTTAATTCAAGTTTGTCTTCTTTTTTTTTTTTTCTTTTTTAATTTTGGCAACATATCTTAAACCATACGAACGCGTGAAGTGTAATATTCCAAATTTTGAATTTAGAAATTTATAAGATATTTGAGAGGCATAAATATTTTGTTAAGGTCTCTGGAAATAATTATTCTATAGAAGCTTATTATTAAGAAATATAGGAAAATGAAGAAGGAATAAGTATTAAAAATATATAGTGGTCCAAAATAACTCAAGAAAATTATAGATAATTATTTTGGAAGATAAATGTGTTTATAGAAGAATAAAAAGGTAGAGATAATTTAAAATCTAATTTTCTAATTTAAAAGCTATTTTCTTGAGAAATTCAAGAAAAATAGTGTTGCTAAATATTATTTTTTTAAAAATTATCTAAGATAAAAGTAAAAATTTAGGGAATGACAGAGTTGAGATAAAAATTATAAGGGAAGGGCAAAATAGTCCTTGCATTTTTATTGTTTTTAACCCCCAACCATACGTGTCCCCTTCGTTTTCATTATCACCTGGCTACCTGGACTCTTCCTCTTCACCCCCTCCTTCATTCCCTCCCTACCTTTGTGCCACCTCTCCCTTCTGCCCTTAGCTTGTGTAGCACGATTCACTTCTCCTTGATACGATTCGTGTCCAAGAAGCCTAGTGGGAGTATATAGAGGGAGACCGAATGGGATTGGGGAGAAACAGAGCAAGAGAGCTCGAGAGAGGTTGAGAGAGCAAGAGGAACCGGAGATCGGGGAGGCAGACAAGGCAATCGGGGAGGAGTTAAGCCACATGCAAGTTGGCCATTGAACCAAGGGAGCCTCCTGATTCTTCCTCTATCCTCCATTTCTTCGAATGGGTATTGATTTAAGGGGCATAGACGGTTAAAGTTGAAGCAAGATAATAGATAGGCTATCTGATTAAATTAAGAGTAGGTACTGTTTGAAATTTGGTTTGTCGGGGATGAATCTTGAATAGCTGATTAATATATACATAAATGAGGGTTATGTGATTGATTATTTTGAGAATGAAGATGATTTGTGAACTCCTACTCTCTGTTTTCGTGGGTATGGCAACGGGTTCTGTGAATTTAGTGCTAGGGAAAAGCGATAGCTTAGTAACAGATATAAAAGCAGTGACCTGCGGCTGTTTTGATGCCTAACGTATGGCTGCATGTTGATTACTGTGTCTGATTGATGACCTCTGATTCTCTGAAACGGGTTTGTGTTCTTTGTGGGTTTAGCTTTGTGTTCTAATAGGAAAAGTTGAAAGAAGCAAGATTCATAAATCTGATACATGAATGTACATATGTTTACCCGTATGTGTGTGGTTGGATAGTGACTGATGAATTAATGAATTAAAGTTTTGAGGTGAAAATCTCATGTACGGTTCTGTAGAGTGGCAGTAAGCGTGACTTATCTGTCAACTTTTCCACTATCACCCCCAAAAAACCAAACTCTGCCTTACGTAATTAAAGTTTTGAAGATGGGAAATTATTAAGGACTTGCTGTTTGCTATTCTTCAACGTTTAGCAAGTGTTTTTTTAAATGGTTAAATTTGTGTTGTAAGTGTTGGAATGCTGATTTTTATTTAAAAGCTGGAAAGTAATCTCAGAAAAAGAAAACTGGTATCGTATACGATTATGTGACGTTGTGGCTTACTTAATTGGGCCCTTGAAGCTGAAATATACATGCTACAGTTCAGTGACTTTAAATGCTAAACCACCATTTTAGATGGTTAAGTTATGCTTGGAGGCATTAAAATGATAGTTGAAGTGATATTCATAAAGATGGAAATTTAAGTGATGCTGTCAAAATGACCGAATTAGTTGATGAATTAAAACTAATTATACTCTTCTTCCATTGTTTTAGTAGCATATATATGTGTGCTGCTATGAAACTTATGAAGATACTTATATTGTTAGAGATGGGACTGATGTTAAGTCCAAATGACAGTGTAAGAGAGATAAAATTGTCTAGCGGGAATAAATAATTGAAGCATTAAGATAATGATTTAAACATTATTTGGATCTGGGAAATAATTTCAGATTGGGAGTAACATTATTTGGAGCATAATCGGGAAATTAGGGAATGTCTAAATAATTAAAATTTTGATATATCAGAGTCTTTATGTGTATGATAATGAGCTTAATGAATTGAAATGTCGAAGTGGATAGAATATACTTCCATGAGATTGACGGTTCTTGTGTATGTATATATATGAGTTCTGTTTAATGCTCCCTTGTAATAAATAGCTGTCTCAATGTTTTGAAGTTGGTAGTTGATTGAACTCTATTGTTTTATGCCTCTAGATGTATAGTAACTGTTCCAAATGGTTTGATGGTGTGTGGACGCATTAATATGATGATTTGATCGTTAAACGATATTTCTAATCTAGAAACAATTAAATAATGAAGAATATTGACAAGGGTCTTGGAAGAAATGCATTAAGCATCTCAAGGCTTTATTGGGTTAAATTGATGAAGTAGAATGAAGAAATCAGGCCTATTCTTTGCCCTTCTTGTTTCAGGTTATATAGTGCTGCTATTTGAACCATTTTGATGGTTAAAAGTTAATTACGAACTTCTAAAAATACGGGTAAAGCAAGTGAATACAAGGTGGTGTATAAGAATGCGTGTAATGGACTTGCTTGTTCATGTTTCTAGTTGCTGAAATTGAATATTATTATTATGAAATATTTTTGCACAAGTTGATGAATGACACTGTCAAATAGGGAATAGTTACCTTATATGTCATGGGGCCCGTGTTAAATTAAATGCTTAGAGGTCAGAAGTTGAAAAACTCCTTGTTGATTAATATCAATATGTGTTACAAAGCCAAGGTGACGTGTTGAAGCTTGAAATTAGACATGAGTTGTTGTTTAGTTGGTTCTTGATGTTAAATGAAGGTCTTAAATGCTTGACATATATTTATTCGGTGCTGTGATGCATGGGAAACAGATGCAAGTTGTGCTTGTTTGCAAGAATTAAATTTATGACTTTTGTTCTTATCTAGTTTTTGATCAACTGTGGTTCAGTGGATTAAGAAGTTAAGAGAAACATAAGAAAGGGGAAGTGTTAGAAACCTTTGGAAATACTTAGATGAAGTGTAAATTGTGGGCCAAGATGACCAGCCACTTTAAGAGAAGAGAGTACACCTGAGCGGGGGTTATAGAGAGATTTAGCTATTTATGGGTTAACCAGAATCCCAATTTTAACTCACCCTATATATGTACTTGTAATGTTGGGATTTAAGTGGCGTCCTAGCTTACCAAGAAGAAACCAAGAGCAAGGTACCCGCACAGGAGAGCAGGCAAAAGGTAGCTTTAATCATTATTTTGTATGTTTTGTATTGGTTGCATATTTGTCTGTGCCATAATGTTATAGTTAAGCATGAGAACATGCAAATTGCCTTACCAGTTATTGCCATGGCCATGTGCATGCATTTCGCTGTCCAGTATATGCATATTTAGCAGTTAATCAGATAGCAGCTGTACAGTTATGCAGTTAATCAGATAGTAGCTGCCCAGTTATGCAGTTAATCAAATAGCAGTTGCTTAGTTATTCAGTCATCAGTTAGTATCTACTCACTTAATCTGTATGCATATGCTTAGTTAATTAGTATGCATATGCTCAATTAATCAGTTAACAGCTGCTTAGATATTCAGTTATGCGTGACAGTTATATGAAATTAAGTTAAATGACAGCAAATATGTCCCAGTTAATTATTCAATTCAGTTCAGTTATTTTGTAAGGTATTGTTCTCTGTGGTTTGTTTTGCATGCTCAGTTTTATACCATGCATAATATATAAAACATGATTACTGCTACTAGGATTCTTTGAATCTCACCCCTCCTTTCTTTTTTTTTTTTGAGTAAGATGGTATCGCTGCCTCAGGGTATCCCAGCACAACCGGCCAGACTAATCCCAGGTGCACTCGCAGGTATCGAGCCCATGACATGGTAGGGAAGGCGCCTTGCGTTTCCGTTTGCGACCAGTCGGACCCGACCCTTATAGGCCACCCCTCCTTTCTATTTAACCATATGGCCTAGTGCATCCAGAGGAAAAGAGAAGCTGGTGGAAGCTTAACTAAGGTGAAAGGAGAGAAGAGCTAAGTGCTTAGTTAATTAATTAATCTTGAATGTTTTATGTTTTTGTTTCCCCCTTCCTTTTGTGATGCTCATATTTCACTTTGGTGAGGTTATGTAATTTCTACTTATGTGATGTATGTACCTCCATAAGGAGGAGTGATTGGGGAGTAGCTTAGCATAACTGGGGACTTAGCGTACATATATGCATATATTGATGTTATATCTGTGGCATGAATGATTTAGGATTTACAAAGCATAATTTATTAGAGCTGGAACAAAACAGTAGAGTTTTCAGAAGTAACATCTGTACAGCTCTGATATATAGATGTTGCTATTGGGTAAAGATAGAATGAATTCAGGTCTTATTATATCGTATAAAACTTTTAAAGTTATAAGTTTTGAGTCAAATTTAGATAAAAAGTTTTAAAAATACCACCTTTTCAGTGTAAACTCTCTACCATAGTTTTTTTAAATCTGCTTTGATCTAAGTGTATAGAGTAGGATGTTACATGAAGAGTCAGTGAAGTGTGAAAGCAAGCTGAAAAAGAAGAGGTAACAGGCCGTTGCCATCACAAATACAAACTGAAAAGAATTGATGATTACATACAGTGGTGAGGGGAGAGAAGTACAAGATTTAGATATGGGTATTGTGGTAAGGCTATATTATTAAAAACTTCCGGCGTATTTTCTTTATGTATAGAAGAAAATTAAATCATGTCTTAGTATTATTATTAGGCGACACCTGAGCCTATTCCTAGCTGAACCTCTACCAGTACTGGGTGCCAACTCATTGCATTCACTCATTCTCATTTGATTTATCTATATGATTCCTCTTATGCATATGAATATATATTTTAAATTTTTAATGCGTGTGTGCTGGTTGTTGATTCCAGTGATGGAGGCAGACGAATTAGAGATGGTTATTTTGAACAACGCCATATCTGAGAATGACTTGTTCGGCGCAAAAGCAGTCATTGATTGCCACCCTAAGGTATTGGACGTAGATTTTGGAGCTTCAAGAGGCGAAACACCTCTTCATATAGCTGCAAAGTTTGGGCATGTGGCCATAGTAGACGAGTTGATGAAATTGGTTGGACCAGAATATCTTGAAATATGGGATTATTATGGCTATACCCCACTTGCAACAACTGCCACACATACGGGATCCATCCCAATTGCAACATGCATGATAAACAAAAATAGCGGGGCACTTACAATTCCAGCTCAATGGCCTTGGCTGATTCCTGTTACCTTGGCTTTTTTTGGTGGCCACAACAAATTGGGACTTTATCTCTATTCTGTCACTCCTTTGCAAGTCTTCAAACCAGAAAACGGCTCTTTTGTGGGTCCTGAGTTTCTCCGAACCTGTTTGAGAAATGGAGAATTTGGTAACGTAATTTTTAGATATATAATTTCACTCGCAAAGCACAATATATGTTTCATTTTCATTTTTTCCTTCTCGTCTCTTTATACTATATGATTTTGATACATAAATAGATATTGCCTTGCATTTGCTCCAACGATGCACGGAGCTGCTTTTTGCTGGTGATGAGGATGGGAACTCAACAATTGCGAATATTGCACTCTCTCTTCCTCATTCTCTTCATAAAAGTCAACTTCCGTTCTTGAAGCGATGGGCCTATCACTGTGAGTACATATTATTACTTTCCACTCGCTCCCTACAATTTTCTATATATGTCATTTACTTTTTTGAAGTACTCACTAGCCATAATGGCGAATTATGATGATGACAGTAAAGATGGTGAAGATGAAACAACCTCTGGTATAATTTAGTTTATACACACACACACTTATTCCAAGTCCGTCTCACCCTTCCTCTCTTATTTCTGCCTTCCTAAATAAATTAAGAAAGCCTTTTGAAAGAAATTCTCGATCCACAATATAAGTCACTTGGTGGATCATTAATGATTTTTTTTTTTTTTTCCAAATAGGTGTTACCCCTCCCTATTATAATTTATTAGAAGAGGAATTGAAGTATCATATAGTGTTTCTCTGTGCTCTTAAATATGTGCAAAGTTGCAAAAAATATTGTTTTTAAATTTGACTTGGTCAACCACTTTTCTCGTTCTGGTGAGGTAGTACTCCCTCTGATTCTTATCATAGGGCATTTTCAACTAATTCTTACATACTAATTAATGACAGTTAAAGTATTAAATTTCTCTTAAATTAATAATTTTTTTCAAGATTCCCTTCAACTTAGATTAAATAATATAGATAGAGAAACACGGAGTTCAATGAGCTTATAAATACTAAACCTTAATTAATAATAAGGGTGAAATTGAAAAGGAGCGATTAAGGAGTTATATAGTTGATGACTTATATTGAGAATCAAAAATTGCTCCTAGAAAATGCCCTGTACTAAAAACTAAAGGGAGTGAAGTGACTTAAACTACGGATCGAACAGAGTAAAAGGAAATTCCACTATGTATAGAACATGTTGGAAAGTGTAAACAATAAATTTGCTAGGAGTTTTAGGTATAGTTTTTTGGGAACTCTAAATCCATATTTATATGTATTTAGGAATGTGTAAGTTCTTTGGCTGAAAATTAAAAGACTCCTCCTTTGCTCCCCTCTTCCAAGCCTATTCTTTAATTTAGTTAATTTTCACTCATGCATTTGTCATTTCGCAAGTCTTAATCACTCGTAGTGGACGACAACTCTAGCCTAAATATATTTACAAGTAGTTTTATCTTCTGATAATTCATTGTTATTGTCATTGTGAGCATAATAACAGTATTTATTATAACTACACTACATCCAGTAATAACATAAGATATCTTCTCAAATTTTTCATGTCCATTATTAGGCTCTTTGAAAATTTGGTGAAATGTTTATGACGTATATTCCCAAAAATAATGTCGGCAAGAAAATTCCAAAAATACTATTTATGTAATTAACCCTCAATTAATTGGAAGATATTATCTTTCACTTTTTCAAAGAAAACAATCCCGCAATCCATTAGGAAGTGGCGGTAATTAATTAATACTATTTATGTAATTTACTTGTGCTTCTAGTTATTTACTGCATTATTATTTCAAGAAGCTTATGTTTTCCCATTTCTTTGATCACTTTTGAGGGGAAGATATTAAAATACCATCAAACACAACCACTGGGCATTTCTGCGTGGATATTCAGCAAGAAGGCGAGGACAAAAGTGCTGGTCAAGGTACAATATCCTCTATTATCACTTTAGAAGATGAAATCAAATAATATTATATAACTATTATTACAGAACATAGTAGATTATAATTTGTAAAGTTTTTCATTTAATTTAGCGCACATAAAACCAGGTATGCCAAAATATGAAATTTGAAATTAAAAATTAATTTTTATTATAAGCTCGATTTGTGAATATTGAGATGTCTCAGTCTTAATTTATGCACAGGTTACTCAATGTTTGCATTTAATTAAGTTGCACCTAGCTTTGACCCGAGAGAAAAGATTAGACTTTTATATCCACACACAAATAAACGCTGGGGGGGAAAAAAAGAGAGAAAGAAAGGATAAACCTATATATATATATATAGAGAGAGAGAGAGAGAGAGACATAGACATGCATGCATACATATCCTCTTGAATGATTGGGCTAAAAGAAAAAGAAAAATGCATGTCAACAGGGATAGGTCTACGCCATTGGCTCCTCTCCAGCATATATAATTTGTCAGGTATGTATGTATGTGTGCGCACGCCAAAAAGTTGCCCAGAACTTAAATCGAATGCCTTTGACATTCTAGTTCTATTTCGGTTGCCAATGGTGCAGGAATGAAGGAAATATATAAGATGAATCTGCAGCATACACAAGCAGATGAAATTCTAAACCTAGTTTGTCAGAATCTGATGCTTTTGAATGTACAAAAGAGGAATGTGATTAGAATAGCACTGAATTGTGCAGCTCAGCAGGACAATGCTGAGTTTGTTTTGCGAGTAACGAAGGCAAACCCGGAGTTAATCTCACTAGTTACTTCTGTTTACCTAAACTATCCCATTTTTGTCATAACTGTTGTTGAATATCGTAAAGCTGCGGTTTTCAGCCTCTTCCTTTTTTTTCAATTTAGGATTATGGCAGCAGCAACAGCAGCAAAAATGATAGCAGCAAAAGAGACAGGAAATAACTTGCTACATTTGGCAGCCTTGTTAGCTCCTGCTTCCTACCTTAACTGCATCTCCGGTGCGGCATTGCAGATGCAAAGAGAACTGCAATGATTCAAGGTTAGAACTGAAATTTAATCCTTTTCTGTGCATGCCAGAGGCAGAAGAAAATGAATCATATTAACACATGCACACATGTCCGGTTTGTTTTCGTTGCTAATAATTAGGATTCATTATTATATGGTGCAATTTAATAAATGAAGTTGACTAAAGAAGGAGATGTTTTGTTTAAGGATTTTTTTATTTTTTTTTTTAATTCATAGACACATCTGATGAGACTTGCTGATTGTGAACTAGCTAGAAAAGTGAATTAATTTTATATCGTTGGATAATTCCTTGTATAATGCAAGAATAACAATGGGTTAGCTTATATGAAACAAATTAATTTTTTTTTAATATGCAATTAATCAATTCTAGCTATTTTGTTACTTTGAGTCTTTTATTTAGTGCTTATTTATTTATTTTGTATATACATAGGCTGTCGAGAGCGTGGTGGATCCTCGATACAGGCTAGATGAAAACAAGAAGGGGCTGATTCCTCTAGAATATTTCAAAGAAAACCACAAAAAGCTGAGGGCTGAAGGAGAAAAATGGATGAAAGAAACAGCATCTTCTTGCTCAGTTGTTGGGACTCTAATTGTTACCATCATGTTTGCCGCAGCTTTAACAGTTCCTGGGGGAAACAATCAGGATTCAGGGTACCCAATATTTATAAAGGAAAAGTTATTTAAAGTTTTCTTGATCTCAGATGCACTTTCTTTGTTTTCATTCGCTACTTCTGTACTCACATTTTTAGGAATCCTCACCTCACGCTATGCAGAAGAAGACTTCCTTTACTTGCTACCTACAAAATTGATAATAGGTCTTTCTACATTGTTTTTGTCTATTGCAACTATGATGATTTCCTTTTCAGCAACAATAATGATAACGTTGCAATATAACTCATCACGTTTATGGTTTACTCTTCCGGTTACTTTGCTTGCTGGTGTTCCTGTAACCCTCTTTGTATTATTACAATTTCCTCTTCTTGTTAAAGTGTTTTCTTCTACTTATGGTCCAAGCATCTTCAAGAAGAAGGTGGAAGAGTGGCCATGAACCGTGCATGTAATTAATTCAAATCTTACCATATATGTATGATTTCCTATTGAATAAAGATTTTCCTCCTCTTGAATCTTACTTGTGTAATAAGCCAACTGCTTATATAATTAGCCTATGTTGGAGGTGTGTATCAACCTTTGCATATTTAGAACATATATATATATATATATATATTGATGTGGTTATGCCAAATTAATTAGATTAATTAGCTGATCCCTGACAGGACTTAGCTTTGCAGATGATTTTTTTTTTGTGGGTAGGCACAGGTATTCTTCTATTAAAAGTAATCCTGTCCGAGATACAGTTGGGTACTAAATATGGGTAGCTCTCTTAAGATTTGAATATTGGTTCATTACGTTATAAAAGATTAGCCCATTTCGTTTTGTGGATGAATTATTTATTTTTAATGGGAACAAATCAGACAATAAAATGGGTTGTACTCTAGGTGATTCAATTATGGGTAGTCCAAACCAAAGTCATCACATGGGCCTAATACATGTGATGGGCACGTGGTAGTTTATAATAATTATGATTAAGAATAATTTTAAATAACGATAGAAGCCCTTCCAAAAATTTAACTAGTCAACTCATGATCTTGTTGACTGTTTTAGAGCCTAACTTGTTTTCAATATATGGGTTCTGTTTACTAAGATTTATGCAAGTACTTATTTCATATCTTATCATGTTATGTATTGAACAAGAAATTTCAGATCCCCTTGGATCTTATCCTGTAAATAAAGCACATGGTTTTATTTTTAGCCTAATTAATGCGTTTGCGTATCATCAGGCTTTGCACATTTAGAACATAAGCATTGATAATGTTGTGACTATAGCAGGACACGTAGGCCTGTTATAGCTTGAATCAAGATAAAGTTGAACCATTTAAATTTAAATTACCAAAAAAAAAGTTAATAAAAAGTTTAATGGTATTCATGAGCATTTTTTTTCGTCAATAATAAGAAATTTCAGTCAAGCAAAAAAGTTACGGTTGAGATTTTTTAAATTTAAATTTTAGATATTAAAATCATTAGTGTAATAAAATATAAAATTTTATATTCTTTATTAAAATATTCAATTAATTAATTAATCTTAAAAATTCACTATCTTTCCTTGGCTCTGTGTGTGAGAGTAGCCCGTCAAGTCAAATCAATCAAATTAAAGCCTCAAAAATCAAGCTGCCAACCATCATTCCATTCAAGGAGTATCATTGACGATACCAACAGAGTTTTTTAAGCGGACTTTGGACTATTTTCATTTGTTTTGTATACAGAGAATGTAAATAGCACTGCTAGGTTTCTTTATTGCTGAAAGATAATTCATCATGAACATGAATTTTGACTATATCGCAATTGAAGTCGTAGCGCAATGTCAGAAACTCCTCTTCCATGATTGCGTTATGATGCAACAAACTAAATGAGTACTTTATTAACATACAAATGCGTAGTCAATTATGATTTTTTCATTATGAACAAAAAGCTGAGCTTGATTGCAGATGATGATCAAGTCCTTGTCGCAGTAGCTAATCA